AAACAGCACAGTATAGCAACACCCTAGTTGCTGTGATAAAACATTCTGACCAACAGCAACTTGGGGAAGGTGAAAGGATTTATGTCACCTCATTGGTTAGTCATGATTGACAGAAGACTGGGCGGGACCGTGGAGGAATGCCACTTACTGGCTTGTTCTCCACGGCTTGCTCAGCTGCTTTCTTACATAGCCCAGGCGCACCTGCTTAAGGGAGGCACCGCCCATAATGGGCTGGGTCCTCCTACGGCAATTAGCGATCAAGAACATGCCTCACAGCCACGACCACAGGCCAGTCTGAAGGAGGCACTAAATGCCAAGGAAAGTACCCCAGACCAGGGAGCCGTGGTCTCTGGCAGGAAGAGCTACAAATGGTAACTGTGGGATGAGACGGGGAAGAGTTTCTGCAGTGCTGCGGTGGGGGGGCCCGGCTCCCGGGGCTCCCGGGGCTCCCGGCCTCTCCCACACTGGGCAAGTGTTCTACAGTTAAGTTCCACCCAGCCGCAGGAGACCGGGCTTATTCTTGATATTTATTTATTTATATGAGACGGGGTTTCTCTGTGTAGCCCTGGCTGCCTGGGACTCACTCTGGAGACCAGGCTGGCCTTGAACTAAGCAATTGATTCGTCCACCTCTGCCTCCTGAGTGCTGGGATTAAAGGCGCGCGCCCTCCCTCCTGCCCCAGCTACCCTTAATATTAAAGGCTATTGGTGTAGCCCATTGGGTCAGCTCACTTCTAAGAACACGTGAGGCTCCAGGTTCAATCCCCAGCACATGCATATGTGCACACACACACAGAGTCAAAGTGCTATAGTGTAACTTAGAAAGTGTAATGTATAGAGATAAAATACAACACTACTGGGAAGAGGCTGCTAGGAAGCAAATGGAAGCATGTTTTTCTGCATTACCTATCCACCGAGCGCGCACACACACTCACGCACCCACACGCGCGAGTGCGCGCGCACACACACACACACACAGTCTCTCTCACACAAACACACATGCACTCTCTCTCTCTCTCTTTCTCTCTCTCTCTCACACACACACAGTCTCTCTCACACAAACACACATGCACTCTCTCTCTTTCTCTCTCTCTCTCTCTCTCACACACACACACACACAGTCTCTCTCACAAAAACACACATGCACTCTCTCTCTCTCTCACACACACACACACACACACAGTCTCTCTCACACAAACACACATGCTCTCTCTCTCTCTCTCTCTCACAGACACACACACACACACACACACACACGCACACACACACACACACACACACACACACACGTCGGGGCATATTAGTCCAGGGTAGACTGTGATAATCTAAAGATCCGTGTTTCCTAAAGTAGTCATTTAAAGATCTCTTGAGAGGGCTGGAGAGACGGGGCGGGGTTGAGAGTACTGGATGCTCTTCCAGAGTCTGATCTAGGTTCGGTTCCCAGCACCCACCCGTGTGGTGGCTCACAACCATCTGCATCTGTAGTTCCAGGGATTCTGGTGCCCTCTTCTGGCCTCCAGGGCTCCAGGCCCACATGCATGCACGCACACATCAAAAGAGTAATAAGAGTCGGCTTGGAAGAGGCAGGAAGTCACAGGAGTGTCACTGTGCTGTGCCGCACCACCAGCGTGCTTCCCTCACTACTGTTTCCCGCTCCTACCGGGTCCAGCCTGGTAGAAGAGCTGACCCCAAGGGGCACAGGCCCATTGGCGTTTTGAGTGGGCGTGTGGAAGGAGGGAAGCCTGGAGACTTCCTGGAGGATGGGAGGCGAGGAAGGGTCTGCTGAGGAGGCGGCACAAGGGGCACTGCCCAGCGCCCGCTACAGGCTTTAGCAGGGCGTCACTTCTGCTAAGGACGGCTGTTCTGCAGCAAGGGAAGGCTGAGAGGGAGCCCAGCTAGCATCTGAGCCAGGTCCCCACACCCTGTCCGTATCCTCCCGCCCGTGCAGACATCCTCCCGCCTGCAGAGAGGACCGCGAGTGAGCGTGGTGTGTGTGTGTGTGTGTGTGTGAGAGAGAGAGAGAGAGAGAGAGAGAGAGAGAGAGAGAGAGAGAGAGAGAGACAGAGCGTGTGTGTTGTCTGTGTGAGTGTATGTGTGTGTGTGTGAGACAGCGTGTGTGTCTCTGTGTGAGCGTATGTGTGTGAGCGCGCGCGCGTGTGTGTGAGAGAGAGTGCGTGTGTGAATGTGTGTGTGTGAGACAGAGTACGTTTGTGTGTGTGTGTGTGGTGAGTGTGTGTGTGTGTGGTGAGTGGGTGTATGTGTGTGTGAGTGTGTGTGTGTGAGAGAGAGACAGAGCGCGTGTGTGTCTCTGTGTGAGCGCGTGTGTTGTCTGTGTGAGTGTATGTGTGTGTGTGTGAGAGAGAGACAGAGCGCGTGTGTGTCTCTGTGTGAGCGCGTGTGTTGTCTGTGTGAGTGTATGTGTGTGTGTGTGAGAGAGAGACAGAGCGCGTGTGTGTCTCTGTGTGAGCGCGTGTGTTGTCTGTGTGAGTGTATGTGTGTGTGTGTGAGAGAGAGACAGAGCGCGTGTGTCTCTGTGAGCGCGTGTGTGTATGTGAGAGTGCATGTGTGAATGTGTGTGAGCATGTGTATGTGTGTGTGTGAGACAGACAGAGTACGTTTGTGTGAGTGTGTGTGTGGTGAGTGTGTGTATGTGTGTGTGTGAGTGTGTGTGTGTGTGGTGTGTGTATGTGTGTGTGTGGTGTGTGTGTGTATGTGTGTGTGTGAGTGTGTGTGTAGGGGGGGGTTCCTGCTGCCTTCTTTGGGAAGCCAGTCTTCTTTCTCATCCACGGCCCAAGTCCATCCATTGGAAACAAGATAAGCCCACACAATTACTGCAGCTGACAGGGCCGTGGACCCCGCCCCCCAGGGGATCCAGGGACAGAGGCTCTTCCTGCTGACAGATCACGATACTGGGGCTTCATTGGGCCGAGGTCTGCGAAGCGTTTGCTGGCACATTTCTCACAGGGGCTTCCAAGCACCTTGCCCTTGCCCTAGAAGTGTTTCACACCTGTCTGTCGCTGGCTGGAGGCCTGGGGCCAGGCTGGCCTGTTCCACCACTGGTTCCCACAGCTCCCGGGATGAAGGGGCTGCTCAGCTCCTATTCAGGGTTTGTCTTGCTTCCACGCCAGGCCTTCCCTCTGCTGGGACTCTCCTGGAGAGCGTTCCGTGTCCGTTCTGCGGAGGCCACCAGGGTGCGGGATGTGTGCTGAGGTTTGTCCTGCCCGTGTGTGCTGAGACAAACGTCGTTAGGAACGCATGGCTCCGTGGTGGCGCTCCTCCGAAGCCCCAGGGTCCGGGACTCGGAGCGGCTGTTGGGAGGTCGTCGTCGCTGTTACATGGCGAGTCTGAAGCTTGGTTGCTGGTTGGTGAATGCCTCCCTCCCTCCCTCCCTCGCTCACTCTTTTCCAGGAGTTCACCCGCAGGTGTTACTCGGCTGACTGCTGATGGGCGTTTGGGGCCCCGCCTGTCGCATGTCGCCTGTCGCCTGTCGCGGGGCTGGGCAGCCCTCCGGGCGGGTGTCCATCTCCACAGCTGCAAAGGTTGGTTTCAGGCTCCTGCTGCTGCACAGCCGCAATTCTAGCTAACAGTTGGTTTCTCTGCAGTGACTTTCGGGGCGCCTTCTCCGAAGGGCCGGAAGGGCCGGTGCGTGTGTCCCCTAGGCCACCTGTTTCCGTGCCCTGCGCGCTGCCGA